AGCATGTCTGTCACAGGACGATGGCATGAATTAGAAAATTATTGTACGTGACAGTTCAGGCATGCTGTATAATGTACAGTGTTAGCCTGCACAACATTCATGCCTGAATCATGTTGTGTACATTGACCAGTAGGCAAGCATAAACGATCTCTCAGAGTTTCATTCTGCTCGATTTCAAATGAAATTAAGTTACAACATTTATTGTTTAATAGCCACACTTTGTACATTCTAAATTGCAGTCTTTGGAATTTGCTAATTGTGTTGTTTGAAATTGCAATTTCAGTTTTGAAGTGAGGATATCTGCACTACTTGCAGGATTATGATGTTGTGTGTAGGGCTGGTCCGAATAGCATTTTCTGTTCTCCGGATATTCAGCCCAATTAGTGACAAATATCCCAAATAGTTGGGAGGGGGTGGCGGGTGAGCATTCGGGCTGACGGGACAGGAGTGAGCGGGCGTTTTGGAAATCCCGATTCCAGCACAGCGAACGAATAGTCGGCTGTTCCGGTCCAGCCCTAATTGTGTAACTATTGCATTACTCTCCTTTTAGCACTCTACTGGATACAGGTCAAGCAGTCGTATTGTTTGTTTCAATAAATACAAATATGCATCTTTAGAAATCTGACAGGGTGATTCTGAACAATAAGAACTTACAACCTGTCTAGTTAATACTACATAACTTAGTATGTTAACATTTTCTGCATATGAAGATGTAAATGTGGGAAGTCAAAAATAGAAACAACACTCCACTAAACTGCAGTTTCTTCCTCATAGTGCGAACAGCTGATGATAGAGAAAACATCACAAAGGTTTTCCAAAGAATTATTTTATTGGACTGCATTACAGTCTTAAGTGAATGAAGTCAGCTGCTGGGCCTGGCTGCCACTAGTGATTTTTATTGAAAGAGTTTGCAGTATACCAATAGCATCAGCTGATGTAGCCTCCAGTGGAAGTCTTAAACTGTAAATGAATATAAGAGAAGTGTCAGTGTTTATATAAGGGAAAGTCAAATGGTAAACGGATGTCATAATTGAGAGGAGTGCAACTTTATTTACGCCGGGGTGGAAACAGTGATCTCAGTGTCATCAGGTCGGAGTACAGCAAATACGTGATGATGGGATGGCACGCCGGGGTCACTCTCAGGTCACATAGCAGCACTTCTCTTCATACCCGTAATGCCTAGTCTAATTCAGTGTTTTAGATGTTTTTGCTTTAAATCAGGGCCTTTAAAATGGGTTTTTAACTCTTGTAATACTCATGCAGAAATAATTTATCAAAAATGTGTGTATTATCTGGTCAGCAGTGTTGTCTGAAAAGCTTGCTCCTGGGTTCTTTGAGCACTCTGGTAAATATTTTCGTGTTAAGGTACTTAAATACTGACATATTGTTAATAGGAATAAGTAAATATCAAAAAGAAATATAAATGTCAGTAATCGTCCATCATAATACAAGTGTGAAATAAATTCAATAAATGTGGTTAACACATCTTCCAAGATTGTTAAAAATGATTAATTGTCTGCTATGTGTTCAAGGCTAACCCCGCTAGCAGGCCGTAGCTGATAAACAGCAACCGGTGCACTGCCAAAATATTTCAGCTGGAACTCGTGCTGTAGAGTTTTTGTTTAGGGATTGTATGTTTGCAGACATGAATAGACTATTCTGTCAATATTTGTTTTGATCACAGAATCGGAGAATTAATCGTCTTATCCGGAAAGGTTTGGATGAATGCTCGTGCAGCTACACTGCTAAGTTAAAATGTGCAAGTACAGAGTAAGACCAAACCTGGTTTAACTTTTACATAGTTCAAACTAGGTTGTGCATGTAGCTTCACTGAGGATGTACTGTGACGACCGTTCAATAAAAGCGATATATAATTCTCGAGGCTTTTACCGTAAAAAGGCAGCAAGTGCGGAGATTTCAGTAAGAGCACATTGGAAATGGTCTGCTTCATCTCTCATGCTTGTCCTTTAGGAGCACTTTGCCCTGCGAGGCTTGTACTTGTACGCTTTTCTTTGAATCTGGCTTTTTAGAAGTTTAATCAGAAAGCATGCTATCGATGGAGACCGGCATCGAAAACGTGTGTAGCTAAGTTTACTTGCAAAGTGATGAACTAAGTTGTAAGCCTGTGTCATGTCGGGATCACAAATGAAAAGTATTTAACACTCCTAAACCTTTTTCTTTGAATAATGACCATAACAAAATCAGCACCACGAAACTGTACTTTGTTCAGCACATACGACACCTACAGGATTTTTGGTTTGAGGCATAATCAGGTTAGAGCAAGCATTTTAATTTAATCAGATGTGTAATATAAAGTCCCACGACCCCAGTGAGGACGAAGTGGTGTATAGATAATGGATGGGTGGATGCAATATAAAGTTATTTTGACTAAATATCACGACTTTAAGCTTAGATTTGGTTAAGTTTTCCAATGAAATAGCACGTTATAGATGAGTGGTTCAAAGATCGTTGAAAAGTGAAAATCTGACATTTCTTTTGGCATTTACAGTTTCTGGCTATAATAAATGGTGTAGTTTCGGCATAATTTTAAAAAATTTAATACCTTTTTTATATGAAGGTAACATGGCTTTCAAACCCACCCGTGGGTTCAGAAGGTTAATTCTTTATCTCTTGCAAAATGGAAAAATTCTCTCGCAATAAAAAACGATAACCTACTCATTTATAACGGTTAAGTTTCCACAATACATCTACTGTAGATAGATCTGATATTGGACAAAACATAGGCTTTCGGATTTAGGACCTGTGAACTTATCAAGTAATTTAAGCCAGGCTACTAATAAAGTTGGCATCTATTCTGAGCTTAGCACTAAAATTGCACAATGGCCAAATTTACCATGCTGGAATAGAAAATATTGTCGACATTATGAGGTGCAGGGAGATAATGGGCTCAGTATAGTAGTCTGTGTGATGGTCTGAGTGTATCTCTCGTCGATCAGGCAGACCTCTAATTCCCTCCTGTCAATGGCGTTTGTGTAATGTGCTATCGATTGTGTTTTGATGAGGGTCAGATTACTAACAGGCTCCCTGAGGTGGTAATGATGGAGGCTGGATTTCCCTTAGAGCAAAGTATCAGAGTGGTCAGTATAGGAAAAACCCAACAGTCCCATAGCGAGGGTTTTGAGGTTGAGTCTAGTATTTGAGCATAAGACAGGAGATATTACATCTCATACATCCAGACCAAAACCTTGACATGAACCCTTAATCAAGCTGTTGGGTTTAAATGTACAAAGCGTCATTGCTTTCTGTCTCTTCATAATCCCGTGTCCCTCCCGTTCAGTCTCTGTCTCCCGTGTCTGTGTCCTTTTCCCTCTCCTTTTGCCTTCCTCACTCCCTCCACCCTTTTATATATTGGAGTTTAGAGGAAACCTGCCTGCTCCTTTAGCCAGGCCTATTTCCAGTGGCTTTTGCACATTCCAGTCAGTGCCTTTCTGCCCTAGCGAGGCGGATGCCCTTAATAAAATGACAACAGTAATTTGCCTTTGTCATTCCGGTCCCAGCACAGACTACATCGTGGCTCAAAAATACAGTGCTAGAGAAGGCGGCCGAATGTGTGTGTCGGCTGGCTCTAATTCCCTTTTTTTCTATTTTCCAGAGAGCTGCCTTTTCCATTAAGCCTGAGGTGGCAGGTCTATTTAAAACCAGCCACGACCCCACCCCTCATTCACACAGCGCTCCAAGTCTGGGAGAAATAAGAAATTAACATCAGGACTGGAAGGGGAGGAATGGACATTTTGTTATTAGACTGTCCTTCAGTTTTATTCAAATTATTCCAGCCTTCCTTCCTCCATCTTTTCTCCTCCCTTTGCCACCTTCTTTGACTCCAAACAGGTGACATCACTCATTCTGCATCAAGCATGAGAGTGGAAGACAGGAGGTGCGATTGCATATGGTGCCTGTTTAAAAGCTTCTTGATGGAACTGTATTAGAATGAGTGGTAATTGATGTAAAATATGACAGAGTGCTGTTGGCTTCCTTGGCTAAGCAAGGAGCAGTACAACACGGAGGGAAGGGTCTCCAGTAATGTGACTGACTAATGAAGGATTACTCACTTACACACACACAGCTGATTTTATGAAAAATGAAATTTGTGTTGTCATTCCAACAAGCAGGCGCAGCCGGAAAAAGACTATTAGTTGGAAATCATTATCAATAGCGATATTTTCAAACTCCATTATGCCAATCAGGGTTGGAATCTGCTTAATAGATTTAGTTCCATTTGGCCCGTAATTGATAAATAATCAAAATTTATCAATGTACTCCCAGCCCATTTTCACTAACAATCAAGGAAAAGAGGCCCATTTACCACCTGACTTGGTCCAAATTAGGGATTGAATTGATGATCAATTAATCTCTAAAAAGAACTAGTAGTGTGTGGGGGGAGTGTGTGTGTTGGAAGCAATAAAGGTGGATAAAGGAGTCAGATAATCATGCTGATAAGGTGTGAGCTGGAAGACATGATACAGTTAACAAAGACAGCGAAAGGTTTTGTATTTGTCTGCACACAGCACGTTTATTCAGCTCTGGAAAAAAGCAGAGAAGCCGTCACAGGGGACATAATTCAAGTTTAAGTTGTAATTTTATTTCACTCTGCAGTTTAAAGTAAATAAATTCTGAAATGCATTTATTTGAAAAGTGAGTTGGTTACAGTATGTTTCATCAAAATTCTGTTTGCTTTAGAAGTGAGGAGGAAGATTCAGTGTTTAAATGTTTGCGAAAATGACATTTGTTAGATCAAGCTTGAATTATGCGAATAATTAGTTTTGTTGGAAAAATGATCTCGATGTGAAGTGAGAGTAGAGCTCACCTTGAATATGAAGACAGATGAGAGTGAAATGTAGCTACACATTAGGGCGGCTGTATTAATGTTTTCACAGAAAAAGGCTGAATTAAGGGCAAATCAATCCGTCCTAGATATTCCCTGTTTTTATCTTGTACTTTGCCATTTTTCTGTTCCCCTATGCTCATTGCCAGCAAACCTTCGTCAGGGTGGTTTTAAGGCTTTTTTCCTGTTTCCTCGTTCCATCTGTATCCTGTGTGTGAACTCTAACACTGAAGTCTGTGGCTCCACAATGTGCTTCTTAAGATTTGTACCTTATCCTGCTTAGAAATATCTTCCCTCTTGGTTACATCAAACCTTTTCTGTTTGCAATTCCACTTTACTGTGTATTTTAGTGTATTTGTGTCCTTACCTTCAACTGTTTCGTACCTTCCTTCGGCTGCTCCTGGAGAAGCATAGATTTAATTTTTGTATCTTCTGTATCTACTTTTTTATGTATATAGATGGAAAAGTTAATAGTATAGATAGAAATGGTAGAATCATATATTCAGTTGATATTTCAAGTCAGATTGTTTGAATGGGTCACACTGCACATTTTAGATGTAGGCTGCTACTAATGATTATTTTGGACTGTTTTCTTGATGAGCTGTCTGGTCTAAAATAATGTCAGAAAATAGTGAAAAAGGTTGATTGATGTTTCCCAAAGCTCGTGATGACCCCAGCATATTCAGTTTGCTGTCATAGTGGAGGAAAGAAACCACAAAATACTCACATTTACATTTAAGAAACTGGAATTAGAAGATTAAAAAAAATGAAATTACTAAAAATTACTCAAGCTTAAGTATTTTGCAAAATAGTTGCTAATCAGTTTATTACATGTGGGCTTGCTCAGCTTTACAGAGCTTTCAAGTCACTTTCAGCTTGTTGTTTAGCTGTTTGGTTCACTCATATAGCCCTAAGAGAGGTTTTGTCAGCCAAACAAGGCAGCTGTTTTCAGCAAAAAGCTCTTAAAAAAAAACAAAAAAAACAACAAAAAAAACCCACTGCACATTACCCGCTCAGCACTAAACAGAAGACAAGCCGGTGAACATTGTAAAGCATTTAGCAGCTAAAGAGACAGATATTTCCCTCAGGAGTGTGTAGAGACCAAAAACAGAGCTAAAAGAGAGTAAATACTGCACTCGCGTTTCTTTCCATCTGTCAAATCTGATTCCAAATGAATGATGATGTTGTTCTGAACCTGCTCGTTGTGTGAAGAAGCAACTGTTCAACAAGTTCATCCTCAGTGGCTCCCCCCCCAAAAAAAAATCTGCACCTATGACCTGTCACAGTTTATTGCGTGACTCAGCTGGCACACTTTTTACAACGTGGTGCTTTTGATTGAACTCATGTTCTGTGATCATTATGCAGAGTGCCTGTGCAAAGCAGCCGTCAAGCAGCAGCGTTTTAATTTTAGTGTGAAGTGAAGGCTTGTTCCAGAAATAAAATGCCTTTCATGCAAATGTGTCCTATTTCAGGTTTGCTTTTAGATCACAGTATAAATGATCAGCTGAATTCCAAAGCCTAATGTAAGGCTGATCTCCGCTTGGCAGCAGTGAGGAGGACTGATGTGTTTGGTGGTTGTTATTGAGGTGTGTATCTTGCCATCCAGTGGGAGATGATCTCACTGTGTCCCCCTCAGTCAGAGGAATGTTGGAGGGAATGAGGATCGATGGCCTCGTCTGTAGAAAGTGACCATCACAGCCCGCCTTTTCATGGTTCAACTTATATTATCTGTCTGCGAGGCTGCGCATTTATGCTTCATGTTTGATGGAACAGCGCTGTATCGCCGCCTTTAACTACGTCTTTTCCTCCCCTCTTGTTTCTTCGCAGGCTGGCGAAAGAAGAGATCGCATACATAACCGAAGCGAAGCAGCAGGAGGAGAAGATTGAGCGCCTGAAAGCAGAGGCAGGAGATGATTATGTCATCAAGAAACAGGTATACGAGCTCCTCCTTTAATGCCGTACAACAATTATGCGCCTCGATTTAGAAACCTTTGCGTTATCCATTTCTAAGCGCAGCCTGTGTAAGTGGAGGGCTTTTTCTCTGCCATAGTTAGGTAGTGAATTGTATCTTGATGATTTGAGTGGCCCCTCGTTCATGTAATGAGGTCAGTCCACAGTGATAATGAAGAATTAGGTTTTGAGAGGAGAATCATTAGTGATTTTGTAATTTGCTTGATGCAGATGTAATTATATCATGTTACTTTATAGGAGTTTGATAATTACTGACACATGCTGGTAATTTAGTGTCCCTAACAGATCACTGGCCCATATCCTGCTCTACATTCTCACTGTGTCTCCATCCCTCCATCATTTAGCTGTGCATTGTTTGTAGAGACTTTTTACATTCCCGCATGTTCCCTTTTTTTTTTATTTCCAAATGTGTATCAGTGAATCTGATATTTAGAGTGAAAACATGAGGATGGGATGTTCAACTAACACAGATAAATGGGTGCAATATATTACACAGGGAATTGGGCCAAAAAAGGCAATTTACAAAGATTGTTAAATAAGGTGCATTTGTAAGTTTCTCTTTCCTGCCAGTACATTCCCATTTCATGCATTGTTTTGGTGCCATGCTTGCTCCTGAATGAAAATATCTCAATCATTGTTGTAAAATTTAGTATAAACATTCTTTGTCCCCAGATGATTAACAGCTGATCGCACACTTTCTAACTTGCTAATATACGTCTTTTGTGGTCTTTCCTCTAACAGCCACCATCAGATTGACATTAATGACATGGTAGAAAAGCAACTATTGTGAATTGTCTGGATGAAATTGGGTGTAGACATTATTGGAAATACATGAGAAAATCATTTGTATCACTTCTGGCTTTGATCTGACTTTGAGCGTTGATATTTTAAAAAGTACAGTGTTAGAGAGCTGCTAGTATAGATGGAAAGATGTCTTGTTCCACCTTGCAGATCTTTTTTTCTTCAAGTAGTGCAGATAGTTGACAGTGTTTAAGTAGAGTGTAAAGTAGTCACGTGCCTTTAGGCCAGCATGTGGTAGCTTCTTTTTTTTTTTTTTTTCAGTTTGATTGTAAGTATTGTACAAACATTTTAGGCATGTCTGCAAATGAAAACAAATAAAACATCAATATTAAATCACTCACAATTAATGTCCAAATGTCCCCCAGTACCTTTATGGACAATACCAATGTAATCTTGGCGCCCTACAAAGATTGTGTGTTGATTTATGGGTCCTTTGTATCTTTAGCATAACCTTCATGTTGTATTCAGGATCCAATCTTTTCAAGGTTGCCTTAAAGTCAGCTTTAAATGTGTTTTTTTTTTTAGCCAAGTTTAATCTGCAGGAGCTTCTAATGGTTTGTAAATTGTGTTTTTGCTGTGACAGAGGACATGAACTAATAACTGAAAATTAGTTCATAGCCTCTTCCAACATCTTTATGAGAACTATCAGATAATAAACTTAAGATAGTTAAAAAAAAAAAATACAGTCAGAAAACTGTTTAGACATTTCTGGAGAGAGTTTGAGTCGACAAGATAAATTAATGTGGCTTTTACGCGTTACATGTTTCACTTAGAAGCAAGAGAGTTGGCTAGACTCTCTTCATTTTGCATTAACTGTGTCTCTGGGAAACTGTACAGAAAGTCTCTCAAGAACAGAGGCTGAAAAAGACGCTGGCTGTTGTATAATCCTTTCATATTCAGGCCACTATGATTCACCGATGCAGACCCAAACCTCCAGCAAGAGTAGTGGGTCCCAGTAAATTTTGATCGCCCCCCTTCATGTTTCAGGCAGGGAGGAGCCGCCCCGCGGACACCACATCTGATTATGTTTACTGCTGACATTAAAATTCTGTGTGTGTTTTGTTTTGTTTGTTCATTCATAGAGCGGCGGCTCAGGCTGAGGAGCAGGCTTGGTTGGTGTTAAATGGGGAGATTGGGAGGCCAGATGGATTATGGTTGGAGATGAGAGGTCTGAGGCAGGATGGATTAGAGGTTTTTATTTTAATGGAATCAATACGCTGTAAGTGTCATCTTTATCCAGTGCTGATGGGATCATTCCACTGCACTGGGAGGGCACCATGACTTTTCTCTGTTTCAGCACTCCTCTGCTTAGTCTAGCTCACCTTGTCACATCAAGATGGCAACCAACTCGACTAGTTGTCTGGTGTCTTTCAGTGTGTCAGTTAGGCGCTCAGATGAACTCATACACATCCAGGCAGGCTGACTGTTAGTGTGCACAGCCGTGTAATGTACATGTGTGTAGCTGCGCCCGTGTTTTGACTTTCCAGCTCGGCAGAGGGCTCGGAGAGGAAGCATCTGTCATGAGTGAGTGTGTCTGACAGCGTTAGCCAGCTCTTCTCTGCTCTTTAGGGTGCCAGCTGGGGGAATTCCACATTAGCCGTGGCTGTGAAAGTTCCCCAGGCTGTAACACAGTTTCACTACAGGCGTAGTAATACCTCTTTACGCCTGATCACAGTGCCCTCGGTTCAGGGTTTCTTCATTCATCCAGGTGTGCAGCCAGATCAAGGTGGTCCCCTGCTGCCCAACTCCCGGCCCGATCGATAACTCAATAACATTTTTCATACTGCCGTCTTGTTGGGAGATGTTAACCGCAGCAGAGTGTGTGTGGGACACCCTGCATGTCATTGTCAGGAACAAGGCTGCAGCGAAATCCAGCAAATAAACACGCCTGTGTCTGACTGTTTAAATTAATGCTCTGAACTTGGAAAATACATGTTTGATAATGTGGTTTTTTTTTTGTTTTTTTTTTGTGAAGACGGGTAATGAAAAATGGTAATAGCAGCAGTGACAGAGGTGTTGTGAATGAATAAAGATGCAGTGGTGCTGATGGGGTCTCTGTGTGGTTTCAGATGGAGGTGTTGCAGGAGTCCAGAATGATGATTCCAGACTGCCATCGCCGTCTGGCCGTAGCACACGCAGATCTGCTCCAGTTACTAGTAAGTAACACAGTGAAGTGGTTTTTTAACCTCACAACAGGACAAAACTGCAGCGAAGCTATTGATCCATGTCTGTAGTTAAATGTTACTTTTACTTATTTAGAGCCTTGGTAAAAACAAACAACAAAACATGATGTAATTCTACTTGTATGGTATTAAAAACACGTGGTGACAAAAGCAGCTGTTCTGTACCTTCCCTAAACCTCAGCTTCAGTTTGACTTGTACATTTTAACACCACTTAGAGATAATTGATTGCCCCTTGCTATCAAGTAGTCTATCTTTAGTCTTTTGTTTTATTATTGTGTCTCAACATACCTTCAGAAAGCTGACAGCCAACTGCATGTGCCTTGATTTTAATGAATTTAAGAAAAGTAAAGTGTGTTTCTAAGTACAGCTGCATTAATTAGGAATGTTTGGCCATTAGGGTGCAGAAAAACAGAACAGGATGAATGAAGCACAAGCCTCACATTATTAAATTTCTTGGTTATTATGGCACCAGTCATATAAAATATTGCTGCAGCTCACCTTTATTCCCACTGTCAATTTATCGGTTTGTTTTCTCAGTTAACTGATATTGATATATAGTCATTTGATCTATAAAATCTCAGAAAACTGTGACAAATGTTGGATCAGTTTTTTGTTTTTTTTTAAAACCCAACATGACAATTTCTTTCGATCCGTCCACAACCCAAAGATATTTAGTTTACTGTCATAGAGGATTTTTAAAAAAAAAGAGAAAATTAAAAATTAAGAGATTGGAATATCAGGATTTTGACTTTTTTTTGCTTTAAAAAAATTGCTCGAACCAATTACCACTTGTTTAGCTCTTTTTTTGTCTAAAAATATAAGTTAATGGTAATTAGAAATAAGCAATTTGTCATTTAGAAGAAGCTGCTGCTTTGGTCCAAACGGAAATATCTCAAAACTACTGGACAAATTGCCCTGAAATGCCATTTGGATCAAACATAATGGTTTTGCTGTATCACCAGCTCACCAGCATACTTATATAACTATTTGATAGACTCCATTGAAATTTGATGTCCACATTCATATTCCTGGAAAAGAAGTGCAACAACAATGTGAGTCTTTAATGTTTACTGTAGAGCCCTCGTCATCTGTTCATTTCAATCTACTTTAGTTTATGACCAAATACCAACAAAACTAATGGCATCTCCAGCTCTAGTTTTTGTCTTCTTTTAATTAGCACATGTTGTGATGAATCAACCTGCTCAGCGTCATCATGAGCACGTCAACATGTAGCTCAAAGCACCAGTTTGTCAGCGCAGCCTCACCGAGCCGCTAGCACTTCTGCAGACTGTTGGTATGCTGATGAATTATACGTTTTATTCACTTCATTTGTAATGGAAGCATTAGGGCTGCAACTAACCGTTATTTTTATTGTCAGTTAATCTGTTGATGTTTTATTGGGCAACCAATTAGCTATAAGTTGTATAAAATCTCAGAACATTGTGAACAATGTTTATCAGCGTTTCTTTAAGCCCTCGATGACAAATGTCTTGTTTTGTTTTAATATTCATACCGTCACAGAGGAGAAAAGAAACTAGAAAATATTCACATTTAGTTTGCTGAAATCAGGTCATTTTGAGTGTTTACTCAACTCGATTAGTAAAGAAAATAGCTGGTGATTATTTGATAGTTGACAACTAATCATTGAATCAATTAAGCATTCTGGGGAGCATAAATCATAGGAGGAGATATTCCAAAACTATCTGCTTGAGGACGTACTTCAGATGTACTCAACATTTACTTTTATTTCTTTTTCATTGACCTAAACATTTGAATATGCTCAAGTTTCAGCCCTATTAGCAACATTAGGTCTATATATACAACCACAGAGCATGCCAAAGCCTTCAGGAGTCAGGTTGATATGGTGAGAAGCAAACATAAGCATGCATGTCTCAGGGTCATCTCAATTAATGCAGAGCAGCAGTCGGGCAGCTGGAGGTGTGAGTCACTCACACGAGAGCTGGGTGGGAGGCAGAGGGAGCTAACCTGGAATTAGCCACATGTCCCCTTCCCTGCTACTCATCCTCCCTTTCTTCCTTCCCTCAGACGGACTTGCGCATATGCACACGCTCATCACAGCTCATTAGCAGCGCTGTCACCGCAGCGACCACCACAGGAGCTCAAACACGCTTTGATAAAAGGACGCGGACGCCTCGCTGTCACGTTAAACCTCAGTCCAGCCCTCCGCTGCTAAATTTAGAAGTTTTCTGGTGACAGTGAAGTGACAGTTGGCGTCATATTTTTTTTTTTTACAGAGACAGTTTCATCAGAAAGTTAAAGAGTTGTAATCTCTTCTTTTCGAGTGCGGTAGATGGCAATAAAACAAAACCTGTGTGTGTGTGTGTTTGTGTCTTTCCAGGAAACGGAGGAGGATTTGGCTGAATCAGAGGAGTACAAAGAGGGTAGAAACGTATTGGACTCAGTGAAGCTTGAAGGATGATTTCTGATGTGTTTCTGTTCTCACTGTGAGATCCACTTGCTTAAATGTCCATTCCTTTCGTCAGACCTTGTTTGGAGCCGCGGAGGCCAACTGAATCCATTCAAAGTCTCTGCTCTTGATGTAATTATTTCTACTGTTTACTGTTAACGTGCCACCACATCTGACCACGCTTCTCCTGTGTGTAAAACCCACAAGAAAAAAAAACCCAACAACGATAAAACACTCAGTTTATTACGGCACGGGAGTGGAGAGTTTTTCTCTAAGTTCTGTTTATCGTTGAAGCTAACCATTATTTTCATTGTTAATTAATCTGCTGATTATTTTTCAATTAACTAATTAGTTAGTTTGGTTTAATGTCAGAGGAAACCAGAAAACAGTCACATTTAAGAAGCTTCTAGAACATTGCTTCAGCTTAATTATCAAAATAGTTGGTCATTTAATTTCCGTTGTGGCAGCACTAACACAGGCTGCAGGTCTAGATTTGATTAAACACACATTTGTCAGCTTTTTTCTGTTGTAATAATCGTTCATTTTGGCTGCTGTTGGGTTGGTTTGAAGTATTTTACTCTTTTGTAACTGACACTTTTTTAATCTTTCAGTGAATTTTTGCTTTGCTTTTATATCTTTCTAAATCGGATAAGCCTGCAGGAGCTTAACTGATTCTAACGCTTGATCTTGATATTTCCCAAAATACTAACTACAGCTGCAAACAACAGTTCTCACCAATGTTGACTAATATGTTCATCAGTTATTTGATTTTCAAATAAAATGACTGAAGATGGAGAAAGATGCAAAATCACACGTCATGCTGATGAGTCTAAATCTAAATTCTCTTTATTTGATATGTTTGGGTTGTGAATGTTGGTTAATATGTTGATCATTTGGTTAGTTGATGTCCTCAGTTGTCTTGTTACCCAAAGCTTTTCAGGTTTCTATCATCGAGGAGGAAAGAAAGCAGAAAATTTAGAATTTAAGAAGCTGGAATCAGAATTTTTTGACGACTTTTCCTTAAAAATATTGAAACTGATTTTCCATTGAATTTCCTTTCAGATCTGTCTGATTTAGTTTAAGCCTGCAGCAGCTAATCTGGCCCTTAACTCCTCATCATATCCTAGAATACCAACTAAAACTGCCATTATTACATATGTTCAATGTTGATTAATGTGTTCATTATTCAGTTGATAAACTAACAGGTGACAAATGCAAAATTACAAAAAATACTCAATTAAGTTGTAGGTAAACAGATGAAAGCAGCACATTACAGCATCTGACAAAGTAATTGGCTGACAATTCTTAAGTTGACATGTGGCTTCAAAACTTGAATTTCTGATCGGCTAATCGATTAATCAGCTAATCGCTGATGGATTTAATTGCCCGGTGTGTTCCTCTGCTGCTATTCCTGTCAACAGCACTGAAATGGATTGTGTCTTGATACCTTACAATAAAGACAAGAGCACTTTGGGCAACCCTGTCAGTCAAATGACAAATGTTGGTTGTGGCTGTGAATGACAAAACAGGCCTGTCTGGTGTCCCCGCAGCAGCTCCATCTATTATCCAAATGGCCTAAAATAACGACACCTTGTATTAAGGCTGAGGGAGTCCTTCCTAAATAGTCATACTAATAAATGAACTCAATTGCCAGACAAATTAAGGTTACATTTGACTTGATCCTTATTTTACAGATTTCGATAATTATCGGGATCACCCCAAAGTCTCATTACCGCCCTAATGAGGCGCTGCTACTCCGTGACATCTACCCCGCTCCATCTCGTTAAGGAAATCGCTCTTCAATGCTGATTATTTTATTTGGAGGTATAATTATATTTCTTTCGGATAAATCACGGCCTAATCGAGTCCGTGCAGAGGGCAGCGGCGCTAATTGAGGCATGAGATGCGGCGGCGGGCCGCTCCAGCTGCAGCCTGAACAGCAGCCCTGCAGCCTCAGCAGGCATGCAGCGCTCCGGACGCATCCGCACAACAACACAGCGCAAGGCAGCAGCTGAATGGCGCGCTTCACACATTTCCTCTTATTTATATCGTCCAGTTTCTGTTGCTGATGCATTCGCCTGAAAGTGGGATTGTAACGGTGCTTTTACAGTGTGCAAGGTTAGTTTGATTATTTGATTTTAAAAAGCAAAACTGTTCATCTCGATAAGGTGTCAGACACATGTGGTGGAGTCACAAGTTCAGTATCTCCAGCTTGGATGCAGTGAAGTTGTATAAAATAATGAAGTGAAGCATAACTATCTTATAATTCCTGTTTAAATACAAGACTGAAGTATAGTTACTTATTAGAACTCAGCACATTACTCATGATTTGGTTCATAAGTAACAGATGGAGGCTTTTGGAGCAGTTTCCACAACAGATAAACTGATTGGACCGCTTCCCCCCCAGTGTCACATGACCCATCTGCTGTGCACTGTAAAAAACAAACAGAAAAAAACCGTTTTTGCTTGTTTCAACATTTTTTTGTTGTTGTTATTATTATTACAAATTTCCCTGTTCTGCGAATTGGCAGTGAGTGGTGCAAATAGAAATTACAAATGACAACTCACAACTTTTAACTGTAACTATGACACCACTTTAACTGTTCAAACGAGCGAAAATGCTTTAACAAAAGGTTAAGGATTGAAAAATAGTAATTTAGTATATAATGGTATTTATTTATTTACCCCATTAAGTACAGAAATGATCTAGAAAATCATTTTAAAAGTATTAATTGACGTGCTAACTGTAGAAAAATGAGGGCAAAACTAAATTACGCACACCTCAAAACAAATACTAAGTTGTTCTTTTACAGCTTGTGACCATAAAATCACACTCTTTTGCTGCATTTTAATCCGCTGGAATATCTTAATTTTACAGATTTTCCCAATATTTAACTGTCTAAAGTATTTTCCTGACACCCTTGCTGCCAGATTTTCACTGTTTTTTGTACAGTGTGAAGGAAACATCCCCCTAAAAGTATCCCTAAATGAGCTGCCCCCTGTCTAACCCCACAGCTCACCGTCCATCTCCAATCTAATAATGAGACCAGACTCTGCGCAAACGCCTGTTTGATTCAGCGCTGGACAGAAAGCATCTGAGGGACACTACTCAAGTATTTGGACGTTTTCTTATTTCTCCTCTACAATCAAGAGGAAAATACCTTACACTTAACTGTGCAACATTTAGCCATGAAAGCAATGCGTCGTTATACTCTTAATTATTTAAGGAAAGGGTGTGAAATTGCCAAAATGCGCAGTAATGCGACCAGCTACCACATTAAACTCCTAAAATCCAATTAGAAATACCTACATTTTGCTGATATTACCTTTACTGCAGGGCAACAGAAACATTTACTCATAGACACAGTGATGTCTCCAACCAGGGAGGGCCTTTTTACCTCAGCGTGTTAAATATGTGTTCTGGATGCAGGACATTTTGAACATGTTTAGAAATCTTCGCTGGAACGCGTTTGGTCTGTCAAGTCTATAGGAGTTTAAAGATGAGCTAAGATTAATTAATAGTCATCATTGACTGTTTTAAAAGGTGCCATATGCGCATTTAAAGAGGTTACTGCCTCCATAAAAGACACGAGAGGACAGAAGAGTGAATCACGTCTGAATCAGCAGGGATCATGTTAAATAGGAAAAGTTGATCTGAGTTTAATATTTGAAATAAGCACAGAAGGTCTGAGAGTCTGACTGCATTGTGTTCCATTATATTTGGAGTTTTGTGTTTTCCTTTACATCAATGAAGACCTTTCTGCTTTAAATTAATGCAGAAATGAACGATTTGGTGCGTAAAAAAATCACCAGAATGCAGGAATCCAAGTGTTTAAAGCTTGAAGTGTCCTCTAGGAGCCCTGATCCACAGGAAGCCTAGAGCCATGCGGCCTGCTGCTGTTGTGTTCTCACTGTGGGCGACCACTGCTGTTAATTCCAGGTGATATTTGGTGATGAAAGACATCATTTCTTTCCCCCATTTCTAACAATACCACCACACGGGAGATGAGGCTTTTAAGACTCAAGCTGCAAACCAAATACGCACGAACAGGTGATCCAGTTTTGTGTCTGAAGTTTGTCAAACTTTTGCGCCTTGCTGCTGGACGCAGAGCAGAGCGCTGCAGCATCAGCAACAGCAACAGCTGCTCTCTTCTTCCTCACCGTGCACACTAACTTATTACTCCTAATCCCCCAGACTGTCACCAAATCAGCTGCATGAAACAAGAATCTCATTTGTTAAACTGGGAGCTCGTGCAGATGGAAGATCGATTGTTTTTCTCCTCAGAAATCTCTAATTGAGTGACTGCAAAGGCGAACCTGAGAGAAAAGCAGGAACAAAAAAAATAAATATATATATAAATAAAAGAAACAACACCTAACAAAAAAAATAAATATATATATAAATAAAAGAAACAACACCTGGGCTGAATATGTTTTTTGCGGATCCTGCACTGTAAGCAGGAGGTCACGGGTTCGAGCCCCGCCGCCCCCCCACATGTGCGTCCATCAGCAGCCACTATATCTGAGCTGGAAAACTCCTCCAACACACAGCAGCTTTTATTTTTTATGTTGATTTCTGCTGTTTTATTAAAAGTTCCTCCTTCTCCTCATCTCCACGGCGCGTGAAAACGTCTACTTTCCACTCAGATGCGCCGCATTAACTTGCAGGAGGCGGATTTGTTTGTTTGTCTATTTTTATTTATATCATGTGTAAGATTGATGTGAGCATGTTAGTGGGATCTGCGGGAGGAGAGATGCTGCTCTGACTGTGCTCAGGTCCTTGTTTACCCTAATTACAGCCTTTATGAAGGCAGCAAAACCGAGACCTTCATCACACACACACACGCAGGCAATCTATTGACACTATTAAGTGAAAAGATGCCTTTGAATTAGCATCTAGCAGGAATAACAACTTCCAGGGAGAGCAGAGTGTCAAACAGCAATTTTACATGACAGACCAACAGCCTTTAAATAATAAATCGCATTAATAACACCAACAACTTGTCCTTAAGATGAAATGTTTTGTGTTAATGTCCACATTTTGCCAGTAGATCATGAAACCTTGCAGAAACTAAAGGAATTAAACCAGCTAAATAAATAATGTTGCAGTCACACGTTTTAGATGAATAAACAACCCACCTTTTGACTTGAAAATATCAAATATGTTGCTCAAAAAAATAGCACATAAGTTTGTTTTTCTATGTATTTTTAGGCCCTAGTATGTCATGCCTGCTGACATCTCATGATCTCCTCTCTCCTTGTTTGGGTTAAATATGACCTGCTGCAACCAGAGGAGTCATTCACTTGTGTTTGTGCAGCTATAAAAGCGTGGAGCCATTGAAAAGTCGTAAAATGAAGCGCGCAATCCATCATCCCGCTATGTGTGATGATTTTAAATTATCCTTACGGCTCTGGGCGCGCCACAAAAAGTTCTATTAAACAGGCTAGCACAGAAAAAATAGTCTGAATTTTACACATAATTATGAACACACTGTATAATTGCAGAAACAGACCGCACTCGCTTTATAATTCTGTACAATAAACAAACTTGTTTTGTTTTACGCACAGAAACACGAAAGAAAACAAGATTTCTAGGCATGCGCTTTGAATTAATAAGCTTAGGTTGATTCTTAAACCTTCTTAAGTCTACCTCAAGTCCGGCTTCTAAAGAAATTAGAACCTTGATAAAAGGAGAGGATAAGAAATATCTCCATCTTCTTCTTCTTCTTCTGCTCCTCTTCTGGAGAAAGACGCAGACATCAGCGCAAAAAAAAAAAAAAAAATCTCCTCCACATCCGACCCAAACAGATTCCCGCACTCCTTTCCTTTCCTCTCCTCTCCATCCTTCCATCCATCCCTCCCAGTCTGTCCGCGGTGCCACCAGATTGCAGACGAATAAAAGACGAGCAGCGGCGGCTGGAGGCGGCACGGATGAAGAAAAGAAGCCAAACGAGCCGCGGGTTCACGCTCGGACGCATCCTTTGTGCCGCGTTTTCCAGCACATAATAAATAAACCTGCTCTCTCTGAAAAAAAAAAAAAACCCAAAAACGTCCCGACATCTGTCTAAAGCATGTCTGATTTTTTTTGTGGTTGTTGTTGTCCTTAAATATGTAGCAGACTGACTGGTGTTTGTGAGACAAAAAGGCTGTTGTGCTAATTAAGTCTAATTGTGGTTTATTCACTGACAAATGCAGCGCGTTTTATTATTATTATTATTAATATTACTATTATTGTGAAAGAACTTTTTTCTTCTTGTCTGAAAAAAAAAGAACTGATTTTGAGAAAACAGCAAGAACGTGGCCTCCCCGTAACACGACCATGGCTCTGCTCGTGTATTTATCTATTCAGGTGTCAGCCTCTTCATTAACTGTGTCCAGTCATCAAAGCGGCCACACTTCATGTTAAACTCCCTCCACTGTTTGCCGAATTAATTTGCGCGCACATCATTTACACCGAATCTCCTCCCATCGTGACAGTTGGGACTAAATACTAGTAAATTACCACTAATTTATACTGCCTTTACTCTCATATTTGCGATGAAAGATGCCGCGCTAATTGCATAGACGCGTAATGGCCTTGAAAACGAGCCTGGTTAGGATTCTAAAGTTTGTGTGAGGATATTAGAAGAGGTCCACCTGCCCTCCAAGACGCATTAAAACCGTCGTTAAAAAGCAGCAATAATAATGTGGTTTCATATCACATTTTCGGAGTATATTATGTGGTGTCTCTTTACGCGGCCATGTGGCTCTTCTTCATGTGAATAACTCCAATTCTTGTCCGAGTGGCTCCCTATAAAAACACGCGCAGAAGCAGCATGCACAATTAAACAAATATTGTGGTGATCCAACATTTCTTGAACGGGTCGAAGCTTTCGCTCAGATATTAAATCAGGTTATTTTATTGGATGTAATTTGGAGGAGAAATCAAAGCCAATTACAGGAATGAGGAGGAATGAACTTGTGGATGTGAGAGGATGGGGGGAGGATGGGGGAGGATAGGGGGGCCGCCGGGGTCTCGGGCTAAAGCTGACATACCTCAGGCTTCAACTCTGATTGGTCCTCGTTTGGAGAAGCTCATGGGTTCATTCCGTTGTTAAGCGCCTCCCCATTTCTCTAAACTACATTATAATGCAACGAACCTCCCTTTTAACCACAAACCGAATTTGCTTTCATTTAGGCCATATATATTTCTTAAATAGGTTAAAGTCATAGAGATTTTTTTGGAATAGCATTTCGCCCTGGAGCGGTGCGCAATGCTATCTCATGCCGACCTCCTGGATGCTCGCCTCGGTGAGTTAACATCACCAAACTCCGGTCTTCAACTCTACTGTAAGCTGGAGGAACTTCTAATCTTAAATCAAGCTCTGAAAATTGTCAATTTGCTTCTTATATTATCTTAATGTGACTGAAGTGAACCAAACTCGCTTAATTCATTGGAAAAGTAATTATTATTATTATATTACTGCGTAATTTGATTTAACAATTTTCTAAGATATCAGTGTGATCGAATTGAATGAAGAGTATTTAAGGAGCAGATTGGAATGTGCATGCTGTCTCTCTAAACGAGCTGCACTCGCGGCTCGTTTTAATTTCTGCATTTGTGTTGTGTTTAATGCATGCTGCTTTTTGTCTGGTGGTTTTGTGCTGCAGCACCAATAATGTCTCAACAATTCCTGAGTGCGGCTTTTCGCCTGTAAAGTATCGTTGCCGCTTGTGTGCACTTTAAGATGTCGCTGCATTTGTCTAACCATGTGCCCTTTCCTCCCGTAGAGACACTGTTCACTGTGCAAATCTCACCCGCTCTGGTTGTCTGTGCAGGGATGAAGGATGCCGCGGCGGAGCTCCTGGGCCACAGGGAGGCTTTGAAGTGCAGGCTCGGCGGCGGGGGACCTGACCCGGGACACTCCGGGGAGCTCGGCCCGGGCCCGGACGGCGTGGAAGGGGCCACGATGCTCCCGGGCGACGATATCAGCAGCGGCGGAGGAGCCAACCCGGTGCAGGTGAACAACAAGGAGCAGGAGAAGCAGCAGCAGCAGCAACAGCAACAGCAGAACAGCAGCAACCCGAACCAGTCCGGAGGGCAGCAGAGCCAGAAACAGAAGCGGCACCGGACCCGCTTCACTCCGGCGCAGCTCAACGAGCTGGAGAGGAGCTTCGCCAAGACGCACTACCCAGACATCTTCATGCGGGAGGAGCTGGCGCTGAGGATCGGCCTGACGGAGTCCAGAGTGCAGGTGGGGCAGCTGGAGGGAATGTACCGGTTAGAACAAAACACCGACTCAGGCGCCGGTTCACGTTCAGACAGAGCGAGGATCAATGCGCGTATATTAAATAAGCAAACCATAAAAAAACGCGTTACCTCTGCTGTTTGTTGCCTTTAAATCTGAACCAACTCCAAAATTATAATAATATAAAATCTTCTTCCTTTGTGTATGAAACAGTGCATCCAGTGAAATGAAGCCTCCTCACTAGTAAAGCGTTTCATCTCCTTTTTTTTTCTTTGAGACTGAACAAATTAGCTACAGAATATTCAAATTCATTTGCATTCAGGCAGCTTGAAACGCGCCATCGACTAAAACGCAGCTCGCCAATTTCTACTAATTAAAGTTAAATTATTTGGACAAATGTGTTGTTTATTTGGATGTAAAAATGAACCACAATTAGAGCCGTTACATTTATGTAAAGTCAAACTGAAGATAAAAGGTCTGTGACAGCAATCTGCACAGTCAACATTATTTATGGTTTTTATATGTTCTTATAACGTTTTACTTTATGTCGTTGCACTGAAATAATTATAGAAAAACAGCACAACAACAACAAAAAAATCTGTGTTGGTGTCATGATAAAGTGTGAATTATTTTGTCAACACAGGAAAATAAATTGCAAGATATGCAGTAAAATGATAAGATATATTACAAAAGCCTATCTATGTATTACAAATTAATTTATTTTGTCTAAAAATATAAATATATATTTTTTTTTCATAAATCCAAACCCCAGAAATGTGTCTATTCTGTTAGTTTATTGTTATATAAATCTAAAAATGAGCTTAACAGCACGCAGGTTAGTGTAGATTCAGTGCATGACTCTGTTTCAAACCGGCGACCTTGTGGATTATGATTCTTCCTCATACTGTACATAAGAAAACTTCAACATGACAGAAATGATTACAGCTCATCAGATCAGTCTTTACAGTTTATTTCTCCTGAAGGATGCAGCTTTAATGATACACTGACCTCAGATTTTTATTTATTTTTTAAATATATAAATAAATATATATCTTCTCACTTTGGGAGATTTCAGATAAATTAGTGGGAAAAAATAGATTTTATGATACAAATCAATTGTATTTTGTTTTGTTTTACGCATTGTTTATTTGTTGTTTATTTAAAGGCACATTGTAGATGGCAGTATCACAGCAGTAAATTCAGCCTGGTTAAAAACTGGCCAATATTTTGTGTCCATCTCATGTAATTAATCCACAAGGAACCAAATGCTGATTATGACGCTTTTAACAGTCCTGAATTAACACTGACCGTAAACGTGAGTCTGTTTGACTAAATTCTACTTTGCTGTATTTGATTCTCCGCCCTCAGTGGTTTGTTCTTGCCTACCCTCTGCACAAACTCAAAGTATAAAATATCAGCCACATCACAGAGACGGTGGCGCCTTATTAGCCAGCGGTGCCAATTGCGCTTGGCTCGCTCACATGTGAAATAATACCCCGATAATCATTATTATTATTGCACGGCTCCACTCAGCTTCTATACCATTTACATAAAATGAGAATTAGCGAAATGACGCTCATCTGATATTATGATGGGATTGGAAATAGGAAGCAGGTCCAGGCTCGGAGTTTAGCGATGCTCCTGTCACCGCTCTGCGCGTCTTAATGCCGGCCGCGCTCAGACTGCACTCTGTCTTTTTTTGGAAAAAAAAAAAAAGAAGAAGGAGGGAATGAGAAATTGCGTTTTCTTTCCTTTGAAGTGTAATGCATTTCAGGCCGGATTTCACGGCTGGCTACGCCGGCCGGTGGAAGAGAGTGAGATTGTCCCGTTCTTATTACTGCGCCCCACTTTCTCAAGCAAATCTCCACATTAATCATAGACAACAAGCAAACCTATAGAAGCTCAAGGACTCCCGGAATAAAGAGCGCACGATATTGATCTCAGCAGTAACATTATCTTTATTATGTCTGTGCGTGGGTTCCTTCCAAAGCAGTGGAATGATTAGAAAAATATGGTACTTTACGCACAAATATCAGCAGTAAAAACAGGAGATTTTTTTGGTTTTATTTGCGTCTTTGAAAAGTTTAAATAATTACAAATAAGTATATTGATTTTGCCAGATATATTTGAATAGAAATGCTACAAATTTATAATAGAATTCACAAAAATCCCTCAAAATGTTACAAACTGTGCCACAATTTGTGGTCAAAATACACAATTATTAGTATTTAGAAATGTGTTGTCCTGATGATTAACACACAATAACCAACGTGCTATTCATTTTATATGATTTAGAAGCGTTTTATAATGTATATAGGTGCTTTAGTAGCTGCTGGGTGCTTGAAAAATACATAAATCAGTGTTTTTCTTCTCTGATTTATTGTTGGCGTTATTGTAGCGATGATCACAGCCTGGTGTCATAACCTCTTTATGTGCGCTTCCAGCTCTGCTAACACGTTCTGTCACTACAGCAGCAGTCAGTGCAGCTCCTCCTCACCTCCTCTCTGTCTGCAGGTCTGGTTCCAGAACCGACGCGCTAAGTGGAAGAAGCGCAAGAAGACCACCAATGTGTTCCGCGCTCCGGGGACGCTCCTGCCGACGCACCACGGTCTGCCCCAGTTCCCGTCCGCCGCGGCTGCAGCAGCGGCCATGGGAGACAGCCTCTGCTCCTTCCACGCCAACGACACCCGCTGGGCCACGGCAGGGATGCCCGGCGTGTCTCAGCTGCAGCTACCGCCGGCTCTGGGCCGGCAGCAGGCCATGGCGCAGTCCCTGTCTCAGTGCAGTCTCGGCGCCGGGCCGCCGCCCAACTCCATGGGTCTATCCAACATGTCGTCGAACGGCTCCGGGCTGCAGTCGCATCTCTACCAGCCCACTTTCCCCGGAATGGTACCCGCGTCCCTGTCCGGCCCCACCAACGTGACCGGCTCGCCTCAGCTGTGTAGCTCCCCGGACAGTGACGTCTGGAGAGGGACAAGCATCGCGTCGCTGCGCCGCAAAGCGCTGGAGCACACAGTATCCATGAGTTTCACTTAGTGAGCCGAAGAGCTTTTCTTCCACTCACATAGAGATCTTCTGCATTCAGTTCTTATCCATCCAGTCCATCCAAACGGTGCACCGGGAGAAATACAACCAGGATTCTTGTTCAAACCACAAATCGCAGCTACACCTGGCACTTTCCCTCCCAACCCGCAGACCAGAGGGAGTCATCTATCAGGCCGTGTGGCCTTTACTACCCATAGGGCTGGTTCTGTTGAAGCTATAATTTATTATTTCGCATGTAGCCTATGTCAACTATTTATTTGTCTATTTAAATCGGTTTGTTTAGTATTTATTTATTTATTTATTTATTCATTTATTTGGCACATGCAGCCCTGCCTTTACTGGTGCAGGGCTTTCAGTGACATTTGCTTGGTGACTGACGGTTTTTGAAGACAAATTCTGTGGATACTTTGAAATACAACCCTGGTCTCCAGATTGTCCCACTCTGCTGCACAGCATGCAACTCTAAAGGGCCAAAGGGAAGCACAGTGGACGTGCAGAAACAAGACACCTGGAGGTTTAAAAGAGTGAGAAGATGAAAGATTCACCAGGAGAGAGAAGGATTTGACAGGAATCAGGACAAAGAGGAAAAAGGACTTGAATGCATGTGCTGTCCAAAGCAAAAAAAAAAGAAAAAAAAAAAAGGGAGGGAAATACTATAAATGAAGACATGGAAACTGACTTAACTATAATCTGTTATATAGGATGTTTTGTGTAGCGGAAGCACTCTTGTTCCCATTTGGTCAGTTTGTGATAACTTCTGTTTCCAAAATTATGTCTGTGCTTATTCTCAAATATGACTTTCTTAAATGTTTGAACCATTTTGTTTCATGGACATGTTTATATCAATTAAATGTAAATGATCAAATAAAAATCATTTTCAATTATGTCACATCATGAATCAACCCTCCTTTCTTGAAGCAGTTTAGGGGCTCCGTCCTGCTGGCTTTTGTTAAATAAGTTTAATTATAATTGGAGACAGTTTTACTAGAAAGTGACACAGTTCAAGATATATAACAATATTGTTTGCAGCTTTAATTTAAACCAACGTGTCTCACATTGTCTTGCAGTTAATAACTTAAAATCATGCTAAATTATTGTAATTTGTGTCTGTGTCTGATGTTTAATATCAAATTAAGCTGATAATATTCTGTCCAGTTTATCACATGAAGCGTCAAATGGAGACTTTGAGTGAAATCTTCTGTGAAAACTGAGCAGCACTAAACACAAAGTAAAGCTTTAGCAGTTATGTTCTGCAGAAAAGTACTTTACTCAAGTACAAGTTTGAGCTATTTGTCCTTTGATTGGTGATTCTAGTTTAGTTAATAATTTAATCATTGCATTTTCATATCACACTTTGTTGCTGTGCTGCATTTGTTTGTCCGAACTTTGCAGATTTACGAAGCCTGTGACAATTTAATAAAATAAGCATTGTTAGAGATGAAACCTTCTGAAACAGACGACACTGGACCCACCGCAACACCAAAATGATGTTTACATGTAGATGAATTAATAATATTTCAGTCATATATCAGTGTAACTCTCAAAGAAATAATGATGCATTATGACTACTTTAACTCTTGATATTTTGCTGATAATTCTTCTGTACTTTGAACAAATGCAGGACGTTTACATGTAAACAAATAGTTTTGCACTGTTTGCTTAGAAAAGAATCTTCTGCCTCAGACTACTCAGATGTTCCTCTTTAAAAGAGATCATCGTGTTTGTTGACACCTGGAAACAGCTGCATGTTTTGCTGAGAGTATATAGATTTAAACCAGAAAGGGATAATACATACAACCAGAACAACAATCACAAAAAAACCCTATTCATCTTCTACTTTTTCTTTTTTAGGTGAATAAAAGTCTTCTTCACAGGCTGGAAAGCAGCCATATTGATAATAATAAAAAATACTGTATACGCTGAGTCCTCGAGGAGCCCCTCAACACTAAATGCTCAAATCCAAATGAGCAATTCAGGCAGGATCAGGGGTGTCAAACTCAATCTCAGTAAGGACCAAACTGACAAATTAGCAGAGGACCAAAGGTGCGTTTCTTCATTTTATTAGTTTTTAGGAGAAAATACAAAATAATGACCTGCTTAATATACTGTAAAAACCCCAAATAAGATGAAAAGCCAACAGCTGTGCAGCGTGCAGGACAGAACATCACGTCTATCTGCCTCCTTGGTGTTTAAACGCTGCACATAAACATGCAGTAAATCATTTATACCACTTGATAATATTATACTGTATTGTATAGTATTGCTATCAGCTATAATCTTTCCTATTAAGACATATTTTGTAATATTGCAAATGTTTATCAGCCTCCATGTATAAGTGCCAATAAATTGTGGATGAGTTAACTATTTTATGAACACTTGCATCTACTTGCAACATCCTTGTACATTTATTAAATGTTTATATACAAAGGCTTAGTATAAGACTTTAATATTAGTAATCGTCATTTATTTCAGCAAAAAATTAAAGTACAGGAGGTTTAAGATTCTTAAATTTTCAACTTGCTCCAAAGGCATAAATGTGAAATAAGGAATCATAGATTTTAACAGATATTCATTACTTCATCACATATTACTGATAAAACACAGGAACGCCTTCAACCAGCTGTGAAAGCTTTCTCGTTGTACAGACCTTGTGCACATATTTCAATGTTCTTCGCAGCGATTTGGTAAATTCTCCTGCTGAATTCTTCCTTTCGGGTTTGATCCAGAGGATGCTGATGTTTGCTGCGTCACATTTGTGTTGATATTTTTGCAGGAAGCAAATACAGTGAAAGGCAAGTTTAGGACTTGGTTGGTGGCAAAGGTTTTTAATCATGCATAATGTTGGTCTTTTTAATTATTCAAACTACATCATATTTTGTCATTCTTTAGTCTTTTGGATTCAGTTTCAGTTTGATAATTTAGCTGTGATTTGTTACTGAGGTGAAGCACATTCTTCAGCTCACGCTTCCTCGTATGATCTCGACATAAGTGACACTTCTTACTTTGGGGTAGCAGAGGGAGCTCACCTCTTTTTAATTCTTGAACCTCACACTGCTTCTGTTCAGCTGCCTAAAGGATGTGGAAACAGCACTGTAATATGTGGAAAGCAGCATTATATCTGATCAAAACCCACAAACAGCCAGTGATTTATGACTGGCAAATGATGAGCTGGCAAATTAAGCCAGTGTTTGCAGTTTGTGAGCTTGACCTGTGTGCACCAGTGTGGACGTACAGGACCTGTTTGTGTTTGTTGGCGATGAAGCATGTTCATGATATTCACTTGGTAGCTTAGTGGTGACCAGCCAACTGATTTCCTGCTGAACTGGGGCCAGAAGTATATGTCACAAGTAACTGAATTTGAATAATTTACATGTAAATCGAACATTACTGTATGCTATATTCAAGTGCAGGGGATATAGCTCCAGAAAGACATACTAATGTTCCCACAGGCGATCACTGATGCTCAGATTACTCTATTTCTTCAAACATTTCCTTGTTGTACCATCTTCTTGCATCAGCTTGTTTTTTAATCAAGACAACCCTTAGTGATATTTGACTTTGAAGCTGCCTGTCTCCAACAGGAATCAGTGGACTGATCATCAGACATCATGGTCGTGAAGCTGCAGATGAAGAAGCTTTTTAAAATGACAATTAATCGGTTTCTCTGAAGCTGCCGCTATGGAACACAAGCAGCAGATTTCTATACACTTCTCAAATATGAACCCCTGACCGAGCATCTGATGCAGCTGGTTTATACTTCACTGGTAGGTTGGAGGAGTGTTTTTGGTCAATGCTAAGGTAACCTTAGTACAGAAGAGTTGCTATTGTCATTGATGTTAAAAGTAAGTGACTTGTGTGTGTTTTTTTAGAGCATATTTCTGGGTGGGCTGCAAGGTGGAGCGGGGGTTAGCACTGTCGCCTCGCAGCAAGAAGAAGGTCACCGGTTCGTGTTCCACTGAGGACACCTAGGATCTTTCTGCGTGGAGTTTGCATGTTCTCCCCGTGCAGCGTGGGTTCTCTCCAGGTTCTCCAGCTTCCTCCCACAGAGTCCAAAAACATGTGGAGGTTAATTGGTGATTCTAAATTGTCCTTAGGTGTGAATGTGAGTGTGCTTGGTTGTCTGTCTCTAAGTGTAGCCCTGTGATAGACTGGTGACCTGTCCAGGGTGTCTCCTGCCTTTGCCCTAAGTCAGACTCCAGCCCTCTGTGACCCTCGTGAGGACTAAGCGGTGTATAGATAATGGATGGATGGATAGATAATGGATGGATATTTCTGGGTGTATTTTAATGTGCAGAGAAGAGATTGTCCATCATCAGCAGAAACATCTGAATGGTTCTCAGTTTGGCTTGTAGACAGTCAACAATGTTGACATGTAAAGAACAGAATATAGCAACAAAAAATGATGGATGATCAACTTAATTGACATATTACAACCTGATGAACATAATATTAGCTGGTGGGAGGATAAAGATGAATGAATTAAACTTCACTACATATGCAGGTCTGAACTCAGTATTTTACGTATCAGTGTTGCCTGACTTTTAGTTGGTCAGTGAGGACAGCTACTTGGCACACGTTGAGGTCATTTTGTCTGGAGATCCACTGACAACTTTTGAAGCTGCAGGCAAATGTCATGTTCTTTGGTTTTATTTGTAATTTAAATACAATTTTAATTTGTTTTCTCCTTTCATGTTTTTTTTTCCTTCTTTTCATTCGTTCTTCTGCCTGTTTGTTTCCCTGTTCACCTCTTGTTAATTACCTGGTTTTCTTCCTTGTGTTTCTTGTCCCTGAGTGCTTCTGTTTCTGTTCTTCAGTCTTTATTCCACCTTTAAGATTTGTTTTGTTCACTTTGGATTGTCATTTTGGAGCAGATTTTTGCTGCAGCCTTGCCTCCTCTTCTATATGGAGTTTAAATGTTTATTTTACATACCTTTCCTTTTTGTGTGTCTGTTTTTGGATTCTTCTTTGAACTAAAGACAACAGCGACTTAC